AAAAAAAAAAAAAAAAAAAAAAAAAAAAAAAAAAAAAAAAAAAAAAAAAAAAAAAAAAAAGAGAGCTAGAAAGCAAATAACTACGCGGCTTCAGAGACAACAGCGAAGAGGGTGAAGATAAAAGCCCTGGGAAGTCACCTTGCTATGCATACGGGTTTCTCATGTCTCAGGGTTCCTTTCAGGTCTGGGGTTCAGAGGGCAGCAGACACCTTCAGTGTGAGTCCTTGTGGTTAGAGAGATTCAAGTGTTCCCCAGGACCCCTCTCTCTGCCACCTGACTGCACCAACAAGCATCTCCTGGCAGATTCTTCCTGGTGGCATCACTGTTGGATTGAGAGTACTCCTGGTGACCAGAGAGGACAGAGGAATTAAAGGTACTGAGCAAGGAAAGTCCAGAGAAGCTGCCAGCCCAACAGGCTGCTGCAGTGGGTACTGGGAGTGACTGTGGTGGAGAGCTGCGCTGGGGCCATCACTATGAGTACTTCCTTCTTTCTTCAAGCGCACGTTTGTAGCAGGCAGGATCGAGTCCGTTTCTACCTGGAATTTCCAGCTTGGGCGAACTGTTGGTGCTCACCATGTGCCATTACCACTGGACTCGGGAAAGGTAGAAAAAGGGGTAAAGGGGGCGTAAGACACAGCCGATGATGCCTCTGACAGTGATCACACACGCCACGGGCAGCAGGCATCCCACAGAATGGCTGCCAGCCCTAATCACGGGGGTCTGACCAGCTCCTCTTTCGCAGTGACAGGAGGAAGCCAAGGCTGTCAGCCCTGGAGCTCACAAATGCTAAATGGGAGACTTCGGGCAGCAGCGTGCACCTGCCATCGGGCATCCCGGTCTCTGCATGGCTCCTCAGGGCCCTCGAGGGTGAAGTGGGGTGCTGGAGCCATTGCTCTGGTGGGCCCTTCCACAGAGAGCAGCCTGTGATCCTGCCCACTTCATAGCAGCCCAGGAGCTGGGCTCCTTCCAGGCCTCATCTTCCCGGCACCTCAGAAGTCAGGAGGGCCAGCCGGGCTGGTGTTTCCCGCTCTCAGCCAGGGCTCCTCACATTTGATGAAATCTCCAGTTCTGTTCATATGTCTAGAAAGTCTACGTGAGTATCTGAGGCAGGGTGGAGGGAGGGATTCGAAGTCACCCGGAACTCTGTCTTAGAGCAGTTTGGCTAAAGTTACTATATTCTTTTCTTTCCATCCAGCCCCCACCCCCAAGCCCACAGATCCTCAGTTTCTAAAAATTGGAAGGAAACACAAGAGAGCTCGCCTTTCAGTGTTTGCTATCTACATGTCAAACCTATGGAGCTAAAGGAATAGTATCAAACATGATAATAATCACTATTGTGATCACTATATTCTCCAGCAGAGGTCCTTAGATGCCAGGAGGCTAAATGCAGAGTAATATTTAATAAGCACTGTCTAACTTCCAAGCAGTCTTGCCTCCTAGATTTCTTTTGATTTCGATGCTAATATTTGAGTCCCTTGAGAACTGCTATGATGCTGAGGGGGTCCGTGCTCAGAGCCCTTCTCAGCCTCACATGCACTGGAGTACACAGCTGCCCAGTGGCACTACATGAGGTCACCGGGGCGCCCAAAGGCCCCCATTCATTTGCCTGATTTTGGTCAGTTTAACAAACTTCAAGAAGAATTACTGTGGCTTTTTCAGGGAGGCTAGATCTTTCTCAGGCATGAGGGAAAAAATGAAATGAGTGAGAAAATCATATAACAAAGTCAGGTGCGCTGCCTCACACCTGTAATCCCAGCACTTTGGGAGGATGAGATGGACAGATCACTAGGTCAGGAGTTCGAGACCAACCTGGCCAGCATGGTGAAACCCTGTCTCTACTAAAAATACACACACACACAGATAGCAGGGCATGGTGGCGCAAGCCAGCAGTCCTAGCTACTCCGGAGGCTGAGGCAGGGGAATTGCTTGAACCCGGGAGGCGGAGGTTGCAGTGAGCCAAGATCATGCCACTGCACTCCAGCCTGGGTGACAGAGCGAGACTTCGACTAAAAAAAAAATTGTATTACAGTGCAAACTCCACACTATCCTGTGAAACACAGAAAAGCCACCATAGGAGAGATTTGCAGACAAAATAAAACCACTAACTGCACGGTCCAGTCTTCTTTTAGGTGCCGTGTCTATATTTACTTCTATTTCAGTGGAGTGACCACCTGGTAACATAGCAGACATATTGTTTCCATTTTACAGATGAGGAAACTGAGGCACAGTAGATTCAGGACCATGCCTCAAGTCTTACTCAGTTGGGCGATGGGGCTGTGATCTCAACAGGCAGGCTGGCTGGCTCCCGCAACCTCAGCTCTTCCCTACTCTGCTCTCGTTTTGCCTGGAACTATGTCAGGGTCAGGGAACTCCTGATCATCACCCTGAGCAGAAGGGCCAAAGGGAAGACGGCTCTGAGGCGCCCCACTCTGGGGCAACGTGAGTGACCCAGGCCTGTGGGTCCGGAAGGGAAAAAGGAAACTCTTCCTTCCCCACCCTGAAGCGGTAGTCCTGGCGAGGCTGCGCACCTGCGCCCACTTCTCCACTCACCTGCCTTCCCTTGCCCCCTCACCTGCACAGGGCAAATTTTGCCCCTGGGCAAGCCTTGAGCCCAGCGCCGCGACCAAACCCGGGAAATTAAGCAGTGTGCATGGAATGAAATTTGGCTCGTGGAAGGTGCCTGCAGCTGGCGGTTAACACCGGCAGTAAGAGGATCAACGCCCGGGCCACTGGCTTAAAAATGGGGGTGGGAGTGCGAAGTGTGCGCGCTCCCTTTTACCCATTCACGTTAGTTAATTTGGATGATAAGGGTTCGTGTTTAATCCCTTTGAGTGCGAGTGAATATCCTGACATCGACAACCCCTGAGAGTGCACTGGCAGCGGCTGGCAGAGCAACCTGGGAGGGTGCGGATCTTGTCCAATCTGGCGTGAAGCAGAAAAGAAACGTCGTGAGGAGACGAGGCAGGACCGAGAGGGACACCCTAGGGGTGCGCGGTGCAGACCGAGCCCTCACACCTACCTCCCAGCCCGCCGCAGGTGGACAGATGGCTTCGCCGAGGCCTGGTACCCCAGGCCTGGCTCTGCGCCCTGGGGCTCCCGGGTCCCACCAGCGAGAGGAACGCCGCCTACTCACCCCTGCCAAGGTCTAATGACCCCAAGGGGGGCGCCAGTCCCTGCCACTGCCCTGCAGAGTAGAGAGACTTTAGACAGGGTCAAGGGCAGGCAGAAAACAAGAAAAATCTAAGAAGCAGTCTCAGCTGTTTCCAAATGGAAAAGATTAGAGGGGTGAGAGTTGGGTGGCTCTAGAAAGGGTCATAAAACAAAAATCATTTTTATCGTTTCCATCTGCAAGAAAGCTCACCGCCACCCATAACCCACAAGCTCGGAGCCCCCAGAGTGTGGGATCTTAGGCCGCAAGTGTGAGGAACGCCCGCCCCGGGGAAGGAGGCGTCCGGCAGCGGGGCCAGACTGCCCGCAGAGGCGCAGGCGGCCCAGAGACTTCCCAGCCGCCGCCGCCCCCCTCCTTCCCCTTGGGCCCGTCCAGCAAATTTCCTCCCTCGTTTCTGTTCGTGCCTTCCCTCCCTCCTCCTCCCCCGATATTTTCGCTTTCTAAAACCATAAAAAAGAGATCAACTTCCCAAACTTCACGGGGCCCTTTTCAGTGACAAATATTGATGCCCAAAGTGTCTGCGCTCTCCCGCCCCCAAACGTTAAGAAAAGACGCCCGCGAAAGGGAGACATAAAAAGTTAACAATGCTGTGAAAATATGTTTGCAGAAAATAGACAATCGTTGGATTAAACGTATTCAAGTATGAAATAATGCCTTTTTGTGTCAAAACTTGGGCGATGGGCGGGTACAAAAGTTCCCTGTGGCAGCTACTTGCTCCCTTTGTGAGCCGTGCGCTTTGGCGTCTCCACTTGGGCGCATTACTCAGAGCCCTCTAAGCGCGATTGTTTCTCCCTTTCTAATGACATTTACCGGATCAAAACATGCTGTTAATTCGATCAGAAGGCTTCACCCTCCCTGACAAAGCCACAATAATTTCTCCTGAAGTTTGTTAAATTGACCAAAATTAGGCAAATGAATAGGGGTCTGTAGGCGCCCCCTCTCGCAGGTGACGTCGCATAATGCTCGTCTGGGCCAGCTGCATTCCCCCTTTTCTTCTCGGCCCACTCTTCTCCGTGTTGCCCCCCAATCCTCCCACCCCCCCTTCACACACAAACACACACACACACATGCCCGCCAGTCTCTCCTCCCCCACCCTCTGGCATTATTAAAATTTAGCCCAATGAAACTATTCATACTTTTCAATGGACATTTTCGTATAGGATAATAGGCTACAAATTGAGCCTCTTCCCCCCGCGAAGAGGGAGCCGGAGGGGGGAGAAAAGAAAGCCAGCGACGTGGTCAGGGAGCAGGGGGGAGCGTCGCGTGCCAAACAGCGGCGGGAGGGGCGAGGCGAGGCGGGAGCCTCGTGTGCCAGCCGCAGCCCCACACCTGCCGGGATGTCCGGACAAATAAAGCGGTGTAAACAAAAAGGGGGGAGAAGGACGTGTCACCAAGTCGTGTGAGAAAAGCCTGGGAACAAACGGGGCGCCTCCGTCTCCAAGAGCTCTCCCTTGAACCCGGCGGAACAGCCTATTAAAGGCTTACTTAATTACTTTAATGACTCTGGACAGGCTTTAAAACGCACTCGGCGCTGGGACGGCGGGCTTGCTGGGATTTGTAAACAGGCGATCGTGTGAGACTCAGCGGTGGGACTAAAAGAGGCGACACTGTTTTGTGAGGGGCCTCGCCCCCCGGTGCCCGGGGCTGCTGCGCCCCTGCGCTCCGCGCCCGCGACTGTTGCAAGCGCTCGCTCGCCCGCCGGCCCCAGTTTACCGCCTCCTTTTCCCGCCCGGGCTGTTGCCATGCAAATGTTACTCCCGGGCCGATCACGTGTCCTTTGAAGGGCCACGTGGATTAACAAAGCTGATCTGCCCCCAGCTCGCCCCCCTCGGCTGCTAAATTTTTTTTTCTTAACTTCTTTAAAACTGGTCTTGAATGCATACATCCTCCAAACGCAGCTCCCCTAATCCTATGGAATAATTCAACTCGTGAATGCACTTGGAGCCCTAGATGACCGCTTTATAAGGCAGCCCTCGGAGTTGGGAGGCTGCAGTCCACCTGGGACACTCGAAGAGGCACACGACGCGGAAGAGTGGACGGGTGCTCCGCACCACCGCCTCTCCCGAGGGCGCGCACTGACCAGGATGTCAGACAAGCTCAAGGAACGCAAAGTGAGTCGGCTGAGCCCAAGTGGCACTTGCGCCCTGGTGGTGGAGGCGTCTGACTCACCGACCCTCTACTTGGCTGGACCGATGGCAGGGACGTGGCCACACGGGACTTTGCGTCTGGAGGAATCTCTAGTGGTTTGGGAAGGGGGTGGGATCGAGGGAGGAGAGTGATCAACCAGGGAGAAGTCATGCCCGGATGCTGGTGGCCATCTCCACAGGGTTCTGGGTAGGGTTGCTGGAAGGGGAGCGCGCCAGCGCGGGCGTGAGAGGGCAGAGGTCAACTGTCCCGAGTATGGCAGGCCGGGAGTCCCTTCCCAGGGCGAATGTGAGCAGTGTGCACGGCCAGAGAGGCGGTTAGCACGCGCTGCCAGAGTCATGCCTTTGACTACTTCCCGGGCAAAGCCATCCTAAACGTACAACCCTCTGTTCGCAGAGAACCCCAGTTTCGCATAAAGTGATAGAAAAGCGGAGGAGGGACAGGATCAACCGCTGCTTGAACGAGCTGGGCAAGACGGTGCCCATGGCCCTGGCGAAGCAGGTAACGTTGGCAGCCCGGAGCCGGGTGCCGCAGGCGCTGGGGAGGCCTCTGCGGCCACTCTGCGGAGACGCCGGAGCCTGCTGTCGCAGACTAGCTCACTTGCGGGCCCCTCCCAGGAGGGCCTGAGCGCGGGGCGAGCCTCAGGCGGCTCTGGCGCAGATCCGCAGCCGCGCCCACTCTCTGGTCCTCTCCAGATCCACAGTGCCCACCCAGCAGGCACTGAGCCGCTGAGAGGGGCTCTTCCTCCTTTTGCAGAGTTCTGGGAAGCTGGAGAAGGCAGAGATCCTCGAGATGACCGTTCAGTATCTGAGAGCACTGCACTCTGCAGATTTTCCCCGGGGAAGGGAAAAAGGTGGGCACAGGTTAGGGAATTGGACGCCCGGGCCGGGCTCCTGCGCCACCCAGAGACCTGGGGGCTGGGAGGGGAGTGACGGAGCGTTCCCGAGAGCTCTACTGGAGCTCCGCTCTCCCGGAGGGCAGGGCCCTCTCCCCACCCGGCGACTGGTTTCCAGGAAGGCTGGTGCCATTGCCTCCTCTCGGGCGGGGTGAGTGGGGTCAGGCTCTCAGGGAAAGGGGCCGTTTGCACGTGCTTTGCCAGTCTCTAAGACTGCGCAGAGGCGAGGGCGGGCCTCAAATGGGAACTTTTGGCCTGAAAATGTGATGGGAGGTGCCCTGCACCCGCCTTGGGCTCCCGTGGCGAAGGGGCGCACAGGGTGTGTCCTTCCTACGGGCGTTCTTCTTCCTCCAGCAGAACTTCTAGCGGAGTTTGCCAACTACTTCCACTATGGCTACCACGAGTGCATGAAGAACCTGGTGCATTACCTCACCACGGTGGAGCGGATGGAGACCAAGGACACCAAGTACGCGCGCATCCTCGCCTTCTTGCAGTCCAAGTCCCGCCTGGGCGCGGAGCCTGCCTTTCCGCCGCTGGGTTCACTCCCAGAGCCGGATTTCTCCTATCAGCTGCACCCTGCGGGGCCAGAGTTCGCGGGCCACAGCCCCGGGGAGGCCGCTGTGTTCCCACAGGGCTCTGGTCCCGGGCCTTTCCCCTGGCCACCAGGCGCGGCCCGCAGTCCCGGGCTTCCCTACCTGCCCAGCGCGGCGGTGCCTCTCCCGAGCCCAGCGCAGCAGCACAGCCCGTTCCTGACGCCGGTGCAGTGTCTGGACCGGCATTACCTCAACCGGATCGGCCACGCGCACCCCAATGCCCTTAACCTGCATACGCCCCAGCACCCCCCGGTGCTCTGACGCCCACTCGCCCTCCAGATTTCTCTGCGCTTTGGGTGCTGCTTAGGAGAAATGCTGTATATATTGTACAAATATTGTGTAAATATTGTGCCCCCAAAACACTGGGTGAGGAGAGGCAAAGAGCGAGTGAGTCTTCTGAAGGATTTCCCCCGGTAATAAACGTTTTCTGATAAAGACCCAAAGAGAGGGATTTATTTATTACTTTCTGCTCATCCGCAACCCATCCCCTCCGCGGTGCCAAGGGCGCATCGCTGACAGGGACCAGGGTAACGGCCCTCAGTAATTTGGTGAGGGGCCCGTTGCGGAGTCTGAGGGAGAGGGACGTTCAGTGGAGGTTCAGGCAGATATTCTAGGATCGCTTAAAGGCGGGATTCGCGGCTCCCTGGGCTTGCCCCGCGCGCATCCTGAGCATTAGCCTCAGAGAAAGAGGGAAGCGGAGAACGCTCTCCTTGGCTCTCAGGAAAACGCAGATTGAAAGACCTGCCCCAAAAGGACTTAGGCGGATTGCTGCAGCTGCGATCTGGGCGCGCTTCCTACCCAGAGGCAAGTGCCACACGCACTCGAGCCACACGCCCACGGGTCTGGAATGCGGCGAAGCCCGGGCCAGCCGGGTGCGTGGCTGAGGTTACAGTCTAAACAGACCTCTAAAAAATACGGGAACCAAGTGCAGTTCTGAGTTGCGGCTTAGAAGCAACGTCAGATGACAACTCGGTGCTGGAGGCTTCCGAGAAGCTGGCGTTGCCTTGTGCGCACAGATCAGGCCGGCTTGGGGGCGCTGGGCGACCCGGCGAGAGACGCCACCCGCCAGGTTAGGAGACGCCCCTTCGCCACCCCTCAGGGGATTGTTCCCTCCCCGCCACCCTCCACCGTTCGCCCACTGGTGCAGGATGGAACCCTGGGCTCTCCCTTTAGGCTTTCGGGCCTGGAGCGAAAAGGCCTCCTTATCCTTTCCCTGGTGGGATTTTTTTTTTCTTTTTGGTTTTTCATCTCGCTCCATCCACAACGTGGTGAGGAAACTTTGGAATCCAGGAGAGACTTGGCTAGTGGTCTTTCAAGGGTTTGTGATTTTCAGTTTCAGTGCATCTGTGCCTTATCCACAAAATAGCGATACATCGGCACATCTAAAACGGCAAGCTAAAATCCTGTTTCTCTAAGACTGAAAGGGCAAAATAGGGCTCACGGTTGTTTTATGTAAGTAGGTAAAATAAACAAGGTATCCAACTAGCGAAATTTGTGTTTGTGGGTATTTAAATTTTGTCTTTGAACTTTTGTTCCCCCATAAACTTTAATGCCTTTTAAATAAATGATTTGAAATTTGGTAGCACGTTTTTCTGTTTCCAGAGGCCATTTATCTAAACTGTGGTGATTTGCCTTCTCTCAGATCCGCTAGAGGACTGTAAATTAACTTATTCTATTTCTCTGGACAGGGTTTAAGAAAGCTCTGACCTAGACTGTTTGCTGAGGTCATGGGATGGGATGACCTGCAATTTGTAAACCATCAAACTTCATTATGCACAAACAGCCGAAAAAAAAAAAAAAGAAGCCCTCATTACGTTGCCCATCAAGTGAAACTTCCATGTATATATTTTGCCAAGAAAAATCTATAAACTTTAGAAAAGGTCTTGCACGTCAGAGGTTCTTGAAATATCTGTAAAATGTGAGCTCTCTCCTTTCTATCAAGTGGTAGAGCTGGAGCATGGAAGTGAGAGTGAGACCAGGCAGCCCTCCCGGGTAACAAATATACATTGAGCAATATGGGATAAAAACAAATTATGCAGAAATGGGGAGAATGGATGGTGCCTATTATTGGAACACATGTCTTACACCCATTTTCATCAGCACTGGATACAGAATATGAAGAAGGCCTTTCAGAGTTTTTTTCTGTGAGCACTAAGCCAATCTGAATTCCCTTCGGCAGTGAAGCATTAAAGATATAGTGTTACCCTGGAAATATAAATTATTAATATATTCAGCATTTTTGTCACTTCTCAACTGTTAACCAAATCAGACAAAACTTTCTTTTGCTAAGTAGATTTTCTCTTTGGGATTAGCTTTGGGAATGCACGGGGCCACCACAGTAAAAACTGCGGTCATTTACATATAATTTCGCAAACTTCCACTGGTCCATGACAGCCTTTGTACCTCAAATGTTGGTATTCTTGATTTTTTTTCCTTTCTCATTTAACTGTGCAGGATAAAACCCTGCTTTGGATTTACAATGACTTTAGGATAAAAGTCTCCCTCCCCTTTCTCTCCTTTCCCCTTTCTCTCTCTCTCTCTCTCTCTCTCCACCCTGCCCCGTGTGTGTGTGTGTGTGTGTGTGTGTGTGTGTGTATGCGCATGTATGTTTTGTGTCTTTTTCTGAAACCTTCACCCAAAGTCCCAATCCTCCAGGATTGGCTAAAAGTCAAACTTGGAATAGTTTGACTTTGCAAAAGATTAAAAATGTCACTACAAAATTGAATGGATTCAAATCTGATTGTGACTTTCATGTGTTCTTCCTGCACCGTCTCTGACAGCACATGACCTCCAGCCTCCCAGCTCTAGCCCCCACCCCTGTCTCCCTCTGTCTGGGTCTCTTATGCCCAATCCCCCCACTTTCTTTAAGTAAGTTGTATAGTAATGGTTTCCAAGAGAGGCCCAACCAAACCTAGAAATAACAAAAAACCAGTGGGTTTGGCTGGAGGTAACCCATTGTGATGCTTCTGAAAGGCGCAACCTCTTGTGTCTTGGGCTTCATCCTTGAGTGGGCAAGAATAAAAATAATCATCCCCATGAAATCAAAGGTTTTCTCCAGAGGCTGGAGGGACAAAGCTGATGGCTGGTGCTTGGGGTGGGTCCCCGTGGCCCAGCAGGCCTGGAACTAGTCTCTTCCAGGCACTCCAGCAGCCCCTGCCGAAAGGGCAGTAATACAGAACTCACTTGTGCTTCCAAGCATTATTGAACAAAGACAGCCCCATGTGTCAGTGAGGGCCCCTCCTGTCCAGGCTGCTGGGTACAGGAAAGGGAGGTGGAGGAGATGCCATGGAGGTGCCTGAGCCCACAGAGGCAGGGACTTCCAGGACCTGGCAGTGGGTGTCTGCACAGAGTAACAACAAGGAAAGAAAGGACACATGGACGTGAGCAGGAGTTCGATAAATAGTCGGGGAACAACTGAATGACCTGGCTGACAGTGCTGAGCTCTTGGAGTTCTGCATCAGGTCCTTCCTAGCCTCAGTCTTTGCCCTGGGTCATCAGAGATGAGCAAGTAATTGTACATCCACCTAGAAATCCACGGAGCGCTCCACACACATTCTGAGGATGATCAGAAGCACAACGGTCTTGCCTTTTGCCTGGACATTCTACCTTGTGGTCTGGCAGTAGAAAACCATGCCTGGCCTGCTTGGGTAAGGCAGTGAAGTCTCCCTGCAGGTCCAGCTCAGTGAAGAACCCAACTGCAGAATCTGGGTTCAAAACTAGCTTGATACACACAGTTCTGCTCCTTTCACATGGAAAAGCTCCAGGTTGGGCCAGGTGAGCTTCCATCCTCCTCTCTGCTCCATTTATGATGCAGAGGTTGGCTCCTGGAGTCAGACGGCCTGCGTTTGCATTCCAGCTCTGCTGTCTACTAGCTGTGTGACTTGCAAGTTGTTCAGAGTCTCTCTCATCATCAATGACACACAGCTATCAAAGGCGCATACTTAGGGTTGCTATGAGGATTCGGTGAGTTGGGACATCCAAGCACTCCAGACAGTGCCTGGCCCATAGGGGATGTTCAGTGTATGTTCGCTATTATAATAAGCCATTTTAATCTACCTCTGCCTTCCAGAGTCAGCTACTTAGGGCCAGTTCAAACTAAAAACAAAATGCCCAGGCAAATCATGAAAAAAAAGTCTTCAATCCGAGAGCTTTTTAAACCCCCAAGGCTCTGGACCAGGGCAGTTGTCTTACTTAGAAGAATCGAGGGTAGGGGAGCTTCTGATTTCATCCCATGATCAACCTTGGAGCTGTGCACCCTACTTCAGGCTATGATTGGTGGTCAGAGCCATTCTAATACATTTGGAATGTTACCCCTTACGATCTTTTGTATGCAGAAATCTGGCGTCACGTTGCTGTACGACAGCTCTGTACCCACAGCCACACACTCCCTACGGTGTAATGCCTATTCACATACAAATCTTGGCCGCTGCACATTTTTTTTGGACCACGAGGGACATAAACGAATTCAATGTTTCTTAAATATACTTTCAGTAGCGCCTCAACGCTCTTCTCAGCATCCCCCCATTTTCCCTTTCAGTTTTCCACTCCACTTTTTCCTTTATTATCCTGTTCATCACCTGCTGTCCCACTCCTGGCTTCACGGTCAGCCTGAGGAGTCAACCCCATACGCAAGCCACCGCCCCGCCACGGCCTCTCAGCTCCCTGGACCCCATCCTCCAACCCACCTCCCTTTCGGGCTTGGCCTCCAGCTGTCCTTCTCCCTGGTTTTCTGGTTGCTTGGCTCCTGAGATCTGACTCCCCAGCATCCACAGCCTGGTGTGAGAATTGATCCAAGTGCGTGTGTGTGTCCGTGTGTACTTACGTGTGTGTCTGGGGTTGAGAGGGACTTTTATTTCCCACGGCTCCTGGCTCCATGTGGGGGGATATTACTAGAGTAACACTCAGCACCTCTCAGCATTCCTTTCCTGTTCCTCAGTGGTCTAACCGGAGTATTTGGAAGCAGGACCCAGGCAGGCTCCACTCAGCCACTTTCTCTGTGGTGTCAGGTTGCCCACAGAAAGCAAGAAAGCATGCCCAGCTGGGTGGCTGGAAGACGTCTAGCGCTTCCTGTGCCTGCGATGGAAAAGCTTAATTCTAAGGTGAAATGTTGCAGGCCCACTGTCCCTGTAAACTGATGTCACATCTTCCTGTCAGTTGCAGAATAGACATTTTTATCTCCGCCTGATACCTACGTCTATATATCAAAAGGCTCTGGGAACAGTAGGAGGGGAAAATGAGTTTTGGTTATTGGCTATCCTAAAAACCCAGAACCTGGGTGTTTATCTACACAGCTAAGAAGGGAGATACACATCCGTGCCTGTGCGCATGAGCAGGACAGGCCCAGGAGTGCCCCAGACGTGTGC